ACGAGGCTTGCCAAATCATGAAGTAGCTGGCAGTACTGCAGTGTTTCATTCTTTCATTGCACAGTGTGACACTGTGCCTTTAATTGCCTAATTACCTAATGTATTGTTGTGTGAGAACGGGAGCGATTTCTATATCTCCCTCCTCCTCCCCTCTGGTCCTTGCATCTGGCTTTTGCTGAAGGATACGGCTGCGTGAGTCAGCTCTGTCGCTCTGTTGCCTTCTTATCTTCTCGATGCTGCTTTCCAGCCAGAGTCTGCTTCTGCTGTACTCTGCTACTACGGGCGAAGTTCCTCACCATTCGGACAAATGAGGAGGGCGTTGGCCCAACAGTAGCAAGTATAAGCAAAGATGAGACGCTCACTTCACATCTTCTGTAGCAGAGCGACAAAAGTCCTTTCAAAGTCCAAATTCAAATCTTTGCTGAAAAACAGGAATGCTCCCGCTCATGGCGTTGGCATTGGAGATTTTCCAATTCGTGCAATGCTAAACACCCAGCGCCCCTGCCTCCACTGTAGCGAGCAGCAGATATCGGATGGCATGTGCGCCCCATCCCTGCAGGGTTCAACAGGGATAATTACCCCCAGATTCACCTTGTTTAATTGCACGACTAGGGTCCGGTGTCCTGGGAAAGCAGCCAAACGCCATAGGCCATCACACCGGAAGTCTTCTCCAAAGTCTTTTTTATATTTTCTCTCTGATAGTAAGAGCTGACTGTGAAAAGGAACTCTCTCAGAAGGGGTGGACCTTCATTGGGGGTTTTAAGAAGAAGTTGGATGGCCACCTGTCATGGATGCTTGAAATGAGATTTCTGGAGGGGCTGGACTAGATTCTGAATCTATAATTCTATACTTCACCCTGGTGTGAGATCTTAAATTGACTTTTGAACAAGTGAAATTTTATACACATTCCGTGTGCTGATATGCTTTCTAACCCCTGTATGAATTATTTGGTGGGCCATGAGCAGATCTTTTCCCACATTCCAAACACTAAACCGTTTTCTCTCTTGTATGGATTCTTTGATGGGAAGTGAGACTATCCTTCCGACTGAAGCTCTTCTCACATTCTGAGGCACTGATAGGGTTTCTCCCCTGTATGAATTCTTTGATGCGAAGTGAGATTCCCACACTGACTTAAGCTATTTCCACATTCTGAGCACTGATAGGGTTTCTCCCCTGTATGAATTCTTTGATGGTAAGGGAGTGCGGCACTTTGACTGAAGCTCTTTCCACATTCCAAGCACTGATAGGGTTTCTCCCTATATGTATTCGTTGATGGGAAGTGAGCGTCACCACTCTGACAGAAGCTCTTTCCACATTCCAAGCACTGATAGGGTTTCTCCCCTGTATGAATTCTTTGATGAGAAGTGAGATGACTCTTTCGATTGAAGCTCTTTCCACACTCCAAGCACTGATAGGGTTTCTCCCCTGTATGAATTCTTTGATGGGAAGAGAGATGGGTGCTTTGACTGAAGCTCTTTCCACACTCCAAGCACTGATAGGGTTTCTCCCCTGTATGAATTCTTTGGTGGGAAGTGAGTTCACCACTCACACGAAAGCTCTTCCCACATTCGAAGCACTGATAGGGTTTCTCCCCTTATGAATTCTTTGATGGGAAGTGAGATTGGCTCTTTCACTGAAGCTTTTCCCACATTCGAAGCACTGATAGGGTTTCTCCCCTGTATGAATTCTTCGGTGGGAAGTGAGACCGGTGCTATGACTGAAGCATTTTCCACATTCCAAGCACTGATAGGGTTTCTCCCCTGTATGTATTTGTTGATGGGAAGTGAGCGTCGCCCTTTGACAGAAGCTCTTTCCACATTCCAAGCACTGATAGGGTTTTTCCCCTGTATGAATTCTTTGATGAGAAGTGAGATGACCCTTTCGATTGAAGCTCTTTCCACATTCCAAGCACTGATAGGGTTTCCCCCCTGTATGAATTCTTTGATGGGAAGTGAGACTGGCGCTGTAACTGAAGCTTTTCCCACACTCCAAGCACTGATAGGGTTTCTCCCCTGTATGAATTCTTTGGTGGGAAGTGAGATCACCACTCACACGAAAGCTCTTCCCACATTCGAAGCACTGATAGGGTTTCTCCCCTGTATGAATTCTTTGGTGGGAAGTGAGTTCACCACTCACCGAAAGCTCTTTCCACATTCCAAGCACTGATATGGTTTCTCCCCTGTATGAATTCTTTGATGCACAGTGAAATTATTCTTTCGATTGAAGCTCTTTCCACACTCCAAGCACTGATACGATTTCTCCCTACTCTGTGTTATTTCGTGTGAAGTGAGGCTATTCCTTCGAATGAAGCTCTTTCTTTGATGGGAGTTGGACTGGGAGCTCTGACGGATGTTCTCTCCACACTCTGAATATTTACATGACTTCTCCGCTATGTGGATCCTGTTGTGCTCTCCCTTGTTCTTCCCTTCTAAGTCATCACCACCTGCAATGAAGAGAGATGCTAATTAGAGTCTCAGGAGGAAATGGGAGCTCCAGATTATTGAACAATGTTAATGAATGCTTGTGACAGAGGAAGAACTGAAGAGAATGAGATGTGAGGCCGTCCTATAGGTTTCACTTCCTTAGTTGGCTGGTATTAACTGAGATATTGCTTGGCTTTTATCTGGGATGGATATTTTTGTGGCTCAATCATGGAATCCACTCCATCTCCAATCACAACATGTTATGATCCAACAGGGATCCTTACTGAGAGAGTCCATGATCCCACGATTCTCCTCCTTGACTTCTCCTTGACCTCCCCTGTGTGAGTGCTTGAGGGCCCTGCTCTTGCCACTCACCATCTGGCCCAAGGCAGGGCCTGACAGGCCTCACAACTACGGTTGCTGTTACTGCTGCTGCTGTCCAGGAGGACTCAGGGGGGCGCAGAGTTCTTTTTAAAATGTTTTTTAAAAATTCTTTTGAATTTTTTGTATGTGGGGGGTGGTGGTGGGGTGGGGTGGATGTTTGGTTGGGCCTGGGAATTTGTTTGATTTTGGTGTTTTTGTAATTTTTAGTTTTTTGTTTGTATTGTTTTATTGTTTTTAAAAGGTTTTATTTTGTTCTTAAGGGGAGGGGTCAGGGCTGCCGGGGAGTGGGTCCCAGCCAACAAAATGGCTGGAGCATGTTCCACAGGGGGCGATGCACTGGGACAACCGATCTCAGTGATCACGGGTAGGAGGAGGAGTTACACTAAGACCAGACCATGTCGTTAGAGGAGGCAGGTGTAGTCGTTGTCTGAGGACTATCCCTGCCTCCGGGTCTGGTCCTGACCGGATGGATACTAGAATCAGCAAGGGATACCCACATGACCTGAAGGTGCTGCTGTGCAATGCCAGGTCAATGATTCATAAAACCACTGCCATCCATGACTTGATCATGGATGGAGGACTTGACCTGGCATGTGTAACAGAGACTTGGTTGGATGAAGCAGATGGGCCTGTCCTTGCCGCTGCTTGTCCACTAGGTTTCTCTTACGCACAGCAATCCAGGCCTTGTGGGCGGGGGGGGGCAGTGATTTTTAGGAAGTCATTAGTCTGTGTTGGGATACTGCCAGGGAGATAAAGTCCATCATGGCCCCCAAGCCGTCTGCCGGACGATCCATCGACCTCCCGTAGTCACGCAGTATCAACAATTAGCGACATGAGTTTCTCGAAGATTTCTTGCCACATTCCAGAGCTCATGCACACTCTTATCAGCAGATAGCACAGCCAAAAGTTGCAATCAGGAGAGCATTATTTACAAGTTTATTCAGCGTTGATCAGAACACAGAAAAACATGACTGACTGCTTTAGTGTCTGCGACACCAGAGAAAACGAAAGCAACAGAAAACATAAACATCCTGTGAACAGGAAATACGCAGACTCTGACTCACAAAGCCTGCTCCCTTTTAAGGTGGAACGGAAATATCCTAACAGTCTGCACCAAGCGTCCTATTGGGAAGACTCAGTTCTCTGAGTGCATGTTCTGGAAGTTGGGCAATAGGGGCAGTACAGGATTCCTTTTGGTGTACCGACCTCCCCGCTGCAACAAGGATTCCCTGCCCGAGCTGCTTCAGGTCGTGGCGGATATGCTCCTGGAGACACCTAGTTTGGTTGTCCTGGGGATTTTAACATCCATGCCGACACGACCTTACAAGGGGCCGCTCGGGACTTCGTGGAAAGCATGGCCTCCATGGGGCTGTCCCTGAAAAGTTTGGCCCAACTCATAGCCGTGCACATGCCTTAGACTTGGTGTTTACCTCTACGGATGTTGGTGATCTGACACTAACTAAAAGCGAAACAAAAGAAGTGCCATGGTCAGATCACTTCCTGGTGCAACTGGACTTCTCCGCGACCCTTCCCCTCTGCAGGGAGGTGGGACCGATTCGGATGGTCCGCCCCCGCCACTTAATGGATCCAATTGGCTTCCAGAGAGTGGTAGGGGATGTTTTTGTTACGATATGGATACAACACAGCTGCAAACTGCTAGCTTGATGTTGACATCATGTGATGTGGCTAGCTGTGGGAAAGAATCTTCCCGGAAGTTCACAGGCTACTCAAAGCTGTGTTCTGTGTGTAATATGAGACCTTCCTGTTGCGTTTGTAAAGGAAGTCTTTGCCACTTGCTAGAAGGAGACTGAAGCGATCGGACACGTTTTCTGTAGAGCTGTAACGTCAGAAATAAACAAGATGTAAAAAGGACTTTCTGACTATTCTTCTTTCCCCTGCGAAGGGGATTTTCCACGCTGGGAAATGTCGCCTATCAAGGTCTGCCTGGACTGTCTGGGATGGCAGCCAGAGTAGATCAACAGGTAAACAGCCTGGGAGTCTGGGAGAGTTGCCAGCCTCTCCTGAAAGGGGCTAGTTTTCCAACAGTTTTATCCCAAGTTGATGGCCTTTCAGCTGATTCCCTGGTGGCCCGCTGGAATGTGGAGTTAACCAGGGCTATTGACTGTTTGGCTCCGAAGCGCCCTCTCCGATTGCATGGAGCCCGGACAGCCCCGTGGTTTTCCACGGATCTGAGGGCAATGAAACAATCGTTGAGACGGCCAGAGCGCCGGTGGCGGATAACTCACTCTGAAGCTGACCAGAAACGGGTTAGAGCTCAATGTCGAGCCTACCAAGTGGCGGTAGCGACGGCGAAGAAGACTTTCTTCACCGCCTCTATTGCATCTGCAGAAAACAGCAGCAGGAGACTTTTTCAGGTGGTTCGCAATTTAGCGGAACCACCTGCTACATCGGGGCCCAGTATGGGCCACATGATCTCCTGCAATGATTTTGCAAAGTTTTTTGCAGATAAAGTCGCTCAGATTCGGGAAGAGGTAGACTCCCCCATGGGAACAGGGCCGGAGTGAGAGAGTGCTAGAGTCCTGTCTAGTCAAATTGTGTGGGATCAATTCCAATCTGTTACCTCTGAGGATGTGGACAGGCTGCTTGGACGAGTGAAACCAACCACCTGTCTCCTTGATCCTTGCCCATCCTGGCTAATAAAAGCTAGCCGGGAAGGGCTGGGCGATGGGCTTCGCAGGGTGGCGAATGCTTCCCTCCATGAGGGAGCCTTCCCAGACCCGCTGAAAGAGGCGGTTAGTAAACCGCTTCTTAAAAAACCATCTTTAGATGCGGCCATGATGGCCAACTATCGCCCAGTCTCAAATCTTCCATTCTTGGGCAAGGTGATTGAGCGAGTGGTTGCTGAACAACTCCAGGCACGCCTGGAAGAAGCAGACCATTTGGATCCCTTCCAGTCGGGATTCAGGCCTCATCATGGGACTGAAACTGCCTTGGTCGCACTGGTTGATGATCTCCGGCCGGCTAGGGACAAAGGTGAGAGCTGTTTCCTAGTTCTGCTGGATCTCTCAGCGGCGTTTGATACCATCGACCATAACATCCTTCTGGACCGTCTAGAGGGGCTGGGAGCTGGGGGCACTGTCATACAGTGGTTCCACTCCTTCCTCCTGGGCCGTGTTCAGAAAATGGGGGGGGGTGAGTGTTCAGACCCCTGGGCTCTCACTTGTGGGGTGCCTCAGGGTTCTGTCCTCTCCCCCATGCTTTTCAACGTCTACATGCAGCCGCTGGGAGAGATCATCAGGGGGTTTGGGCTGGGTGTTCATCAGTATGCGGATGATACCCAGCTCTACCTCTCTTTTAAATCAAAACCAGTGAAGGCGGTGAAGGTCCTGTGTGAGTGTCTGGAGGCGGTTGGAGGATGGATGGCGGCTAACAGATTGAGGTTGAATCCTGACAAGACAGAAGTACTTTTTGGGGGACAGGAGCTGGGCAGGTGTGGAGGATTCCCTGGTCCTGAATGGGGTAACTGTGCCCCTGAAGGACCAGGTACGCAGCCTGGGAGTCATTTTGGACTCACAGCTGTCCATGGAGCCACAGGTCAAATCTGTGTCCAGGGCAGCTGTTGACCAGCTCCATCTGGTACGCAGGCTGAGACCCTACCTGCCCGCGGACTGCCTCGCCAGAGTGGTGCATGCTCTGGTTATCTCCCGCTTGCACTACTGCAATGTGCTCTACGTGGGGCTACCTTTGAAGGTGACCCGGAAACTACAACTAATCCAGAATGCGGCAGCTAGACTGGTGACTGGGAGCAGCCGCCGAGACCATATAACACCGGTCTTGAAAGACCTACATTGGCTCCCAATACGTTTCCGAGCACAATTCAAAGTGTTGCTGCTGACCTTTAAAGCCCTAAACGGCCTTGGTCCAGTATACCTGAAGGAGCTTCTCCACCCCCATTCTTCTGCCCGGACACTGAGGTCCAGCACCGAGGGCCTTCTGGCAGTTCCCTCACTGCGAGAAGCCAAGTTACAGGGAACCAGGCAGAGGGCCTTCTCGGTAGTGGCGCCCTCCCTGTGGAATGCCCTCCCACCAGATGTCAAAGAGAGCAACAACTACCAGACTTTTAGAGGACATCTGAAGGCGGCCCTGTTTAGGGAGGCTTTTAATGTTTGATGTAGTACAGTATTTTAATATTTTTTTTGGAAGCCGCCCAGAGTGGCTGGGGAAACCCAGCCAGATGGGCGGGGTATAAATAAATAATAATAATAATAATAATAATAATAATAATTATTATTATTCTTTATGCTGAGCTCTCTGGTCAGCATCCAGCAACGTCCACGCCTCGTCTGTGAAACAAACAGCAACATCTTCACCTGAACACTCCCCATCAGAAGTTATCTCAATCTGGTTGGTCTAAATTTAAATTTATACGTAAATCTCTTTCTTCACTTTGAACCCCCTCCCTCCCATTTTCATGATGAGACCAACTCTGTCTTGTTTCATTGGTAACAGAAGAGGAAAAATGACTATTACTCACTTAATCTAAGCACAACGGCCACAATAGCTTCAGTCTAGGCATTTGGCTCTGCAATGTTGAATGTTCTCTGTGCTCTCCTGTTTCCCCTTTTTTTTTGTTTCAGTTGAAAGCAATTCATGGACCCAGAACTCATACACTGACCACTAATGATAAACTATATGTTATAGATATTCCGGCAAATTTATTCTGCTATTTTACATAGAAATGACATGAGAAGGCTTGGTCTACATGTTTTATTATTCCTATGTTCCTTGTTTTTAAAAGCAAATAAAAAGTTATTCCAAAAAGAAAAGAAAAAAGCAATACATGGAGGCCTCATCTGCGTTCAATCTGCAAAGCAGGATCAGGTTCCTTTAAAGACTCGTGGCTTCTAGTGCTGCGCAATGGGGGCGGAGGGATGTTTGAGGATGGAGAAAAGGATAATATGATGGATTGAGGAAATAGAAATGTAAATGTATGGGGGGATGGGGAGGAAATGGTGTTGGCTTTGGTACATCTGTATTGTAATGCAATATGTGAAAACCAATTTTTTTAAAAAAAGAGTCGTGGGTTCTAGTGCTGCGCGACGGATCAGTGTCTGACATTGGCAGGGCATTCAGATCATAGAACTGGTTTTAGACATTTTGAGCTGCTAATACAGTGGTGCTTCGCAAGACGAAATTAATACGTTCCGCGAGTGTCTTCGTCTAGCGGTTTTTTCGTCTTGCGAAGCAACCCTATTAGCGGCTTAACGGATTAGCGCTATTAGCGGTTTAGCGGCTATTAAAGGCTTATCGGCTTAGCAGATTAGCTGCTAAAAGGCTATTAAAGGCTTAGCGGCTTAGATAAAGGGGGGGAAAGCGAAAAAAAAATCTCAAGACTCGCAAGACATTTTCGTCTTGCGAAGCAAGCCCATAGGGAAATTCGTCCTGCGAAGCAACTCAAAACGGAAAACCCTTTCGTCTAGCGGGTTTTCCGTCTTGCGAGGCATTCGTCTTGCGGGGCACCACTGTACATCGCGGTGGCTGGGGAGCTGTGATCTATTCCTAGCTCAAATTGCCTGCAGATGACAAAGGCGCAGGCAGGCAGGGAGGCAGGCGGGGGAGCCCAAAAAGGTGCTCCCCTTCTCCATCTCCATCTGCCTGCCTGCCTCCCCCCACCCCCAAGCTGAGCAAGCCCCAATTCCTCTCTGGCTCCATCCATCCAGGTCCCCATCTCCCCTCCCCTGGGACTCACCAGATCTCTCGGAGGTCCCTGGGAGGGAACGCTCAGAGGTTGTGGGGAGGGATGCAGGAGACAACCTGACCAGGTCAACCGTCCAACTTCCCCCTTCCATCCTTGCTAGCTTTGCAGGATCCGTCTCTTTCATCCTTCTGTTGAATGGTTTCTTTATATGTAAAGGTTCATCATTGTTCCACCCGATGTGTATGTCTTTAAGGGGCCAGAGCAAGATAACGAGACCCAGCTTTACAGCTGTGAAACATAGCAGGTGCTGCTGAGTTGTATTGATTAAGCCGTGTTGGCAATTGGGTGTAGTATATAAGGAGCTGCACCTAGCTCTCCCATTACCCTGGGGGATGGGTTGGTGGTTGGGTCTGGTTTGTTTTGTTGATGTATTTAGTGTAAAAGGAGTTTTTGTTTTTGTTATTAAAACCTTGTTGAAGTTATTTTTGAGTCCCTTTTTAATGCATGGTCTCCCCAGCAAGCTCTCTGCAGCGCTACCATACTGCAAAAAGCCAACATTTTTCTGAGGAGTCAAGGAGCCAAAAGAAGCTGCAGGGTCCTGGGAGAGAGGAAGAAGCAAAGGGAGCCTCAGAGGCCCTGCAGGGATTTTCTGGCTGGAGGGAAGCCTCCCAATGTTGGGGGCCCCATCCACAGCTTCCACAGTAAAATCCCTGCTTTATCTCATTTCTGGCCAGAGAGCTTCCCCTCTTCCACCCTCCATCCATCCCTCCATGTCCCCATCTCCACTCCTCTGGGACTCACCAGATCTCTCGGAGGTCCCTGGGAGGGAACGCTCAGAGGTTGAGAGGAGGGATGCAGGAGACAACCTGACCAGGTCAACCGTCCATCTTCCCCCTTCCATCCTTGCTAGCTTTGCAGGATGCGTCTCTTTCATCCTTCCTGAGGAGTCAAGGAGCCAGAAGAAGCTGCAGGGTCCTGGGAGAGAGGAAGAAGCAAAGGGAGCCTCAGAGGCCCTGCAGGGATTCTCCTGCCCTAGATATTCTCCTGCCTCTGGAGAAGAACAAGTGGGGCAGCCCCTTCTCATCAGAAGCCCCATTTGTAAACATCTCCAGTGCTTGCAGTTTCCCGTTTGCTAATCACCCCACTTCGTAAGGATGGCAGGGTCTGCACAATAGTGACCTGAGAGTTGATCCCATTGAACTCATTGGGGCTTATGAACAGAACTTGGTGCCAAAACGAGTTACCATCCTGTCCCTGAGCCTGAAAACTGCAACCCCAGAGCATGGGCAGAAAACAGATGAGTAGCTAATACCTGTAAGTGGCCCCATGCTTGGTGCTTTCTACGGAGAGTCCTGTTGACGCAGATGTTTTGGCCATATTTGCCTCTTGCATGTGGACCAAATCTTTGGGGAAGCTCTTCATCTCCAATTGGTAGGAAAGAGGGTTCATTAACCTGCTGGTGGGAGGAGGTGGCTTTTCAGCCCATAAATTCAACTCATGCTGGAATATCTGGTGGGCTGGATCTGGAGCACAAAGGGTCAAGTTCTGCTTGCATGAGCCCTTGTGTTCCTTCCTTCAAACTTATTAGGCAGGAACGTCAGAGGTCAAATCTGGGGAATATTTCATTCTGGGCTTCTTACGGCAGAGCACAGAAGACATGCAATCAATTCTTTTCAGTTCTGTCAAGTAGGTCCTTCCCTAGATTTCTCAAGTGCAAGGACCCAGGGCTGTCTGAGTTATGGGGTTCCTTGGGGTCCAGGTCAGCTGGCTAGTCAGGATTGTCACCTGCAGAGTATATGTCAACTAAAGCAGGATAGTCTGCCTTGAACTGAGGACTTTTTGGAGGTGTTGCTGTATGTGGAAGCAGAGGAGCTGGTGATGCCACATTTTTGAATAATCTTCAGACTGATACACCACTCCTCCTTAGATATTCTCTGTGCTTATGCACTATGTTCACAAACTTTACACTCCTCTTGTGACAAGATTCCCAAAGGCTTATGGTAGCTTGAGAGAAGTAGCTTATTTTGAGACAGCACCCATTTCCAATTCTTGTTTATCAAAACCCTCTCCCTGGTTTGATTTTGGCTTCTGACAGGACAGCAGAGCATTTGATAACCTTGCATATCGTTTCATATTGATATAAGGATCTGGTGTGCAAATTCCAGTACAGTGGTACCTCGGGTTACATAGGCTTCAGGTTATATACGTTTCAGCTTACAGACTCCGCTAACCTAGAAATAGTACCTCGGGTTAAGAACTTTGCTTCAGGATGAGAAAAGAAATCATGCTCCGGCGGCGCGTCAGCAGCAGGAGGCCCCATTAGCTAAAGTGGTCTTCCAGGTTAAGAATGGACCTCTGGAACGAATTATGTACTTAACCCAAGGTACCACTGTACAGTACAAGCTTCTTAAGTGTTCTGTCTGGACCCAGAGCATGAGCTACTCTTAAGTAAGTTAAAAGGTATTTTTAAGTCAACTTTTTAATATTGCACGATTTTAATTTTTTTAACATTTTTGCTCTTCTTTGTACTTATAGACCTCCTTTTGCCATGTGGACGAATTAAACCTCCCTTATTGATCTATTTTTAATGGTAGGGAAAGAGATATTGTTGTATTATCTGGTTCCACAGACTCTGCCAGATTTTATTCCAGAAGGTTTTACAAGTACCTATCAGGATGGTAAGAATTTTATTACAGTCAGCCAAAAAGGATTTTATGCATTCTATGTCCCTTGTTAGTAGTACAAGTCACCCAATGACTGATAATTCCTCATTTGCACCAGAGGCTTGGGAGAAGGAGTCTTTTATCCTTGTATTAGCATTTCCTGAGGATAGTTCTGAAATTTTCTTTCTCATTAGTTCCTCTACTTGTTTAGCCTGACTTTGGCCTTGAGTCGCTTGAGCTCCTGGTCTCAGTGCCAGAGATGACTTAGCAGTTGAGCTGCCTGGGCCCAAAACCTCTTTCTGCTCATCCTTAGAGCTGCTGAGAGATCCTATAAGGTCAGTAATAGGATCTGGCTCCTGCTGTTTCTTAGCCACCTCCTCATTTTCCTTATTCACGTAAAATGGAGTGATTTTTGCTTGTGCTTTCTTCAGAGAAGCTCTCTTTGGAGGTGGGTCTGTGGCACTTGGGGAGAGAACATACATTTTGTAACTACTCTGGGTCAACACTGTCTTTCCCCTTAATTCCTCATCATGTTTCCTGATATCATTAATAATCATAATCATAATCATAATCCTAGCCTGAGGAAGAAATTGAGGCTGAAATGACTGAAGAATGCAAATGAATGTTTGTGAAAGAGGAAGAAGGGAAGGGAGTTACTGCCTTTTTTGGCTGGTATTACCTAACTTATTTATGGGAACTGGAGATTCGAAAAGCCTGGCTCGTTCCAGGGATGGATTTAATTTGGCTCAGTCGTGGAATCCGCTCCATCTCCAAGCTCAGTCATTTCTTTGCTCAACCAAAAACAGAGAGATGCAGAAAGGGAAACAGAAAATTTGACAGGATGTTCCTCCACATCCCTGAGATCTCTGAAGCCTACATTGAAGAAGGCCTGGGCAGCTCAGAGCAGCCTCCTCATGGTTGGAAAAGGCAGGACTGGTGGAAGAATATTCCCAGACAGAACAGGAGATACATCTCCTATGGAGAGTTGTGGGTGTGTTAACATCTCAGATGCTGTAGGTGGCGCTATTGGGCTCCCTCAAAATAGAGGAGGTTTGTCCTTCAGAGATCTGTATGGAATTTCAAAACTGATCTTATGATCCAGCAGGGAGCCTTACCAGAGAGGCCACGATCCCAGGATTCTCCTCCTTGACTTGCTTCTGCAGAGCTCTCTGGTCAGGATCCAGCAAAGCCCAGTCCTCCTCTGTGAAAGGAACAGCTACGTCTTCAAAGCACACTGGACCCTAAGAGAAAAAGGGAGAAGAAAGATGATATTTTTCTACACATTGCTCTGTTCTTTTCTGCCTCTTAATAGCTGCATTGTTTTAACATTATTCTTTTCCTTCATGCTTATTTCAGTATCTTAATGGAACAATTTTGTTGTGTATTTAAATGATGGGGGAGAGACGTGTGTTGTTGCATCTGGGACAGAGGAAGTGGTCCAGTTGTGCTGCTACAGATGCAGGCGGGCTTTTCTTCTCCCTGTGCTCCCCCCATGTGGGAATGTTCTGTCTACATCCTCTGTTCACAAATGTGACTTATCCCTCCCTCTGAAGGGGGTTTATTTCCTTGACCCAGAGCCCCCTCCCCCAAAAGGAAGGCAGCATCTGGATCCCAAGGAAGAGCAGAGCTGCATATTTCCTGCGAAGTGGCCCCTCCCTGGCTTGGCAGAGAGGACAAGGGAGGACCCTCTGCTCCCTGACTTGGGGGTCTCCCCCCCCCCAGGCATGATCTGAGCAGGGACCCCCATGCCCCCTCCCTGCCCCCCTGGGACCCCCTTCTCCCCATTGCACCCTCAGGGGGAGGAGAGAGGAGACTCACCCGAGTCCAGGAGGGGCTTTTGCAAAGGAGAGAGAAGAAGAAGGCAGGGAGGGAGGGGGAGGGGGGATTTAGCCCTGGAGGACCTTCACTCCCCCTCCACTTCCCGTCCTCTCTAGGACTCCAGCTCTGCTCCTCTTAACCCTTGCAAGCCCAGCCCTCCCTCTCCCCGCGCCTGCGCTTAGGGGCTCCCTCCGCCCCCCCCTCTCTGTCCGCCCCCCACACCCAGGGGGTCCCCTCAGCCCTCCTTCTTGGGGGTCTCCCTTCCCTCCCCCCCTCAGTCCGCCCCCCACACCCAGGGGGTCCCCTTACCCTCCTTCTTGGGGGTCTCCCTCCGCCCCCCCTCAGTCCGCCCCCCACACCCAGGGGGTCCCCTCAGCCCTCCTTCTTGGGGGTCTCCCTCCGCCCCCCTCTCAGTCCGCCCCCCACACCCAGGGGGTCCCCTCAGCCCTCCTTCTTGGGGGTCTCCCTTCCCTCCCCCCCTCAGTCCGCCCCCCACACCCAGGGGTCCCCTCAGCCCTCCTTCTTGGGGGTCTCCCTTCCCTCCCCCCCCAGTCCGCTTCCCACACCCAGGGGTCCCCTCAGCCCTCCTTCTTGGGGTCTCCCTTCCCTCCCCTCTCAGTCCGCCCCCACACCCAGGGGGTCCCCTCAGCCCTCCTTCTGGGGGCTCTCCCTTCCCTTCCCCCCCACAGTCCACCCCCCACACCCAGGGGGTCCCCTCAGCCCTCCTTCTTGGGGGTCTCCCTTCCCTCCCCCCCTCAGTCCGCCCCCCACACCCAGGGGGTCCCCTCAGCCCTCCTTCTTGGGGGTCTCCCTTCCCTCCCCCCTCAGTCCGCCCCCCACACCCAGGGGGTCCCCTCAGCCCTCCTTCTTGGGGGTCTCCCTTCCCTCCCCCCCTCAGTCCACCCCCACACCCAGGGGGTCCCCGCAGCCCTCCTTCTTGGGGGTCTCCTTCCCTTCCCCCTCAGTCCGCCACCCACACCCAGGGGGTCCCCTCAGCCCTCCTTCTTGGGGGTCTCCCTCCACTCCCCCCTCAGTCCGCCCCCACACCCAGGGGTCCCCTCAGCCCTCCTTCTTGGGGGTCTCCCTTCCCTTCCCCCCTCAGTCCGCCCCCCACACCCAGGGGGTCCCCTCAGCCCTCCTTCTTGGGGTCTCCTCCACTCCCCCTCAGTCCGCCCCCCACACCCAGGGGTCCCCTCAGCCCTCCTTCTTGGGGTCTCCCTCCGCTCCCCCTCTCAGTCCGCCCCCACACCCAGGGGTCCCCTCAGCCCTCCTTCTTGGGGGTCTCCTCCGGTCCCCCCTCAGTCCGCCCCCACACCCAGGTGGTCCCCTCAGCCCTCCTTCTTGGGGGTCTCCCTCCGGTCCCCCCCCTCAGTCCGCCCCCCACACCCAGGGGGTCCCCTCAGCCCTCCTTCTTGGGGGTCTTCCTTCCCGCCCCCTCAGTCCACCCCCACACCCAGTGGGTCCCCTCAGCCCTCCTTCTTGGGGGTCTCCATTCCATCCCCCATCTCAGACTGCCCCCCAAACCAAGGGGTCCCATCAGCCCTCCTTCTTGGGGGTCTCCCTTCCCTCCCCCCCTGAGTCCGCCCCCCACACCCAGGCGGTCCCCTCAGCCCTCCTTCTTGGGGGTCTCCCTCCGCCCCCCCTCTCAGTCCGCCCCCACACTCAGGGGTCCCCTCAGCCCTCCTTCTTGGGGTCTCCCTCCGCCCCCCTCTCAGTCCGCCCCCACACTCCAGGGGTCCCCTCAGCCCTCCTTCTTGGGGGTCTCCCTCCGCCCCCCCTCAGTCCGCCCCCCACACCCAGGGGGTCCCCTCAGCCCTCCTTCTTGGGGGTCTCCCTTCCCTCCCCCCAGCTTCTCCCCTTCAACTCCCGCCTGACTCCTCTTCCTCTCCTCCCCACCTTCCCCTCCAAGCTCCCCCCTCAGAAAAGGCGCCTTGCCTTTTCCCGCCAAAAGGGCTGGCTCCGCCCCCCGCTGGCTTGGCAGCCAATCAGAGCGCGGCTCCAGGAAATTTCTGAGGGACTAAGTCCGCTGACTGGCCTGGCTCTGCTGTCCATCACAGGCCCAACCAAGGGGGGCATCCGGCAGCTGCCATCTATCTAGAGATCATCTACGTCTCTCAATTATCCATCTATCTATTTTAAACTCTTAGGGTTTGAAAATCTTCAGCATAACTGCTGGGTGTCAGAGCCCCGCAAGGCCTAATGTTTAGTACTAATAAATGGATGGCGGAAAAGTCTGGGAAGGGGCAAGAGCCCTCTCTGCCCCCTCAAGGCTCCTCTCAGGCTCATCCAGGGTCAAAGGCCTCCTCCATTTTTGGAGGGGCAGGAAGTGAGTGGCCCCTGCAGCTTCGCCTGCTGGAAAGGGGGCGACATGCAAGAGGCCAGCCTGGCAGGGTTGTTGTGGAAGGAGGAGCTCCTGGGAGGAAAGGAGGTGCCATGGAAATGCCATTCTGTCAGTAAAGTGCCTCCGCCTCTCACTCCTCCTCCAAACGAGAGCCAGGGGTGTGTATTGTAGCAGGAAACCCCCCCCACTCATTCGGGTTGCGCGCACACACACACACACACACACACGACATACGCTACACTTCTGTTATAAATTCATAGAAAATCCACCATACATCGGATCTGCACTGTTCCACTTTTATTTTACTCCATGAAGGAAGGACTACAAAATGGGGAAGGTTTGATACGGGGCAGCCATCATCCCTTCAGCATCCCAGCACATCCACAGGAGCCCTGCCCAGTTGCTATGGCAACCCTGATGGTCCTAGACAGAAGACCATCAAGATCACAAAGAACTTGCATGTGGGAGTGGATTCAGCACAGACTGGAACAAAGGACAATGATCAGATCTTCCCTCTGGGGGCAGGAACCTGCAAACGCCCCTTTGTCTCCTGGAAAGTACTCATGGGGAGGGGGAAAGGGGGAACCAGCCAGGTGACAGGACACTCAGGTTACCACCACAACTCCTCCCTCAACCCCTCCTTTCTGTGATGTATGCGTGATGTTTCTGGGGGTGGGCTTGACCTACAGGGTGGGAATTTCAAAAGTTTTTATAAGGCCTTGCACACCATTTTTCTGTGTCCTTTCTCTCTCCTGCAAGTGAGGGGAACACCCTGTTGCAACAGTTCAATAAAGGCCAAGCCTATAAAGAATGTTAGAGTGATGTTGGATTGAAAATAAGTGGTTTCCAGCTGTACAGGATAAAGCTATAGATAGACTAAGATTAAAGATTAGGATTAAAGAAGTTTAAGGAAATGGAAATTGGGTACTTAAGAGGTAAAATTTTAATGCTATATTACATTAAGATTAAAGATTGGGATTAAAAAAGTGGAAAAGAAATTGCTGGACAAAGAATTTGGACTGGAATACAAAAGAGGGAGGTATGAGGAAGTCCAGAAAATAAGTAAATTCAAAAACGGAAATGAAAAGGTTATTGTTTTTAATTGTTCTGTTTCTTTTTTTGTTTTCTGTTCTCTGTGTTTTTCTTCTTTTTTTGGATAATGTATTGTGTATGTGTGTATTTCTTTTTTATGTTTTTCTGTTTAACTTTTTACTGAAACCTTAATAAAAATCATTTAAAAAAAACAAAAACAATAAAGGCCAAGCCTACAGGCTGCTGATTTGCTCCAGTTTACTCTGGTTGGTGTCTTTACTTTTTGTCCAAGGGAGCCCTTGGATTTTTCCGGTAACAATATATCTATATATCTATGTATGTTGGTAGGTAGGTAGATGAAAGATGATAGATATGTATGTGTATATAACAGACAGGCACAAAGTTGCCCTCATCCAAGATGGCTAGAAGGACCAGTTGCCCTGACCCAACATGGCCTCTGCTCTTGCCCAAAAGCAGCTGCTCCCTTCAGGCCGATGTTCCCCTTCCTAGAAATGGGGGCCTAATGCTTCCCTCGCTTTCTGCTCCCTTCCCTGAGTACTTCCACCATTCCATGCTTTGGACGCAGCCCCGCTTCCCTGGCGGAACAGCAGGCTTAAGGGCACCAGGAATATCTACCCTTTACGAACTCCAGAGGGGAGCTTCTCAATTTCTTCCTCAGCCTAAACATCATCATAATAATACTGCCATATCACAGTAGATTGTAGGTTGTAGGTGGTGAATTGGAAAGGAAGAAGAAGGGAGACAACAAGAAAAATCCACACAATGGAGAAACCATATAAATATTCAGAGTGTGGAGAGAACTTTAGTCGGAGCTCCCAGTCCACTTCCCATCAAGGAAAGCTCTTCGTTCAGAAGGAGAGCCTCACTTCACATGAAAGAACTAACGGGGGGAAGAAATTAGTGCTTGAAACGTGAGGAAAGCTTCCTTCGCAGCTCCATTCTCAATTCCCATGAGATACTTCATACAGGGGAGTGTTTGGAAAAAGCTTCACCTGGAAAACCTGTCTCAGTTTCCATTCAATAAATCACAGCAAGGATAATCACAGAATTTTAGAAAATGGTATAAGGCATAAGGTATAACTGGAATCAGGAAACTTGATGAGGAATTAAGGGGAAAGACAGTGTTGACCCAGAGTAGTTACAAAATGTATGTTCTCTCCCGAGTGCCACAGACCCTCCTCCAAAGAGAGCTTCTCTAAAGAAAGCACAAGCAAAAATTACTCCATTTTACGTGAATAAGAAAACGAGGAGGTGGCTAAGAAACAGCAGGAGCCAGATCCTATTACTGACCTTATAGGATCTCTCAGCAGCTCTAAGGATGAGCAGAAAGAGGTTTTGGGCCCAGGCAGCTCAACTGCTAAGTCATCTCTGGCACTGAGACCAGGAGCTCAAGCGACTCAAGGCCAAATTCAGGCTAAACAAGTAGAGGAACTAATCTGAAAGCAAAATTCAAAATTAAAGCAAGTATAAAAGACTGCTACTCCCAAACTTCTGGGACAAAAGAGGGATTATCAGTCTTTGGGTGGCTTGTAGTACTAACAGAGGACATGGAACACTTAAAATCCTTTTTGGCTGACTGTAATAAAATTCTTACCATCCTGATAGGAACTTGTAAAACCTTCTGAATAAAATCTAGCAGAGTCTGTAGCACCAGATAATACAACAATTTCTCTTTCCATACCATTAAAAATAAATCAATAAAGGAGGTTTGATTCGTCCACATGGCAAAAGGACGTCTATAAGTACAAAGAAGAGCAAAAATGTTAAAAAAAATTAAAATAGTGCAATATTAAAAAGTTGACTTAAAAATACTTTTTAACTTACTTAAGAGTAGCTCATGCTCTGGGTCCAGACAGAACACTAATTCGTTCTCAGATGTCCGTTCTTAACCTGAAACTGTTCTTAACCTGAACCGCCACTTTAGCTAATGGGGCCTCCCGCTGCCGCCGCACCACCAGAGCACGATTTCTGTTCTCATCCTGAAGCAAAGTTCTTAAAACGAGGTACTATTTCTAGGTTAGCGGAGTCATAGAATCATAGAATCATAGAGTTGGAAGAGACCACAAGGGCCATCGAGTCCAACCCCCTGCCAAGCAGGAAACACCATCAGAGCACTCCTGACATATGGTTGTCAAGCCTCTGCTTAAAGACCTCCAAAGGAGGAGACTCCACCACACTCCTTGGCAGCAAATTCCACTGTGGAACAGCTCTTACTGTCAGGAAGTTCTTCCTAATGTTGAGGTGGAATCTTCTTTCTTGTAAGTAAGAAGTCTGTAAGCTGAAGCGTATGTAACTGAAGCGTATGTAACCTGAGGTACCACTGTACTGGAATTTGCACACCAGATCCTTATATCAATATGAAACGATATGCAAGGTTATCAAATGCTCTGATGTCCTGTCAGAAGCCAAAACAAAACCAACTAGGAAGAGGGTTTTCATAAACAAGAATTGGAAATGGGTGCTGTCTCAAAATAAGCTACTTCTCTGGAGATAGATTGAAACTGCAGAGTTTTGAAAAACTAAAAAACAAAGTGCGAGACTGGCTTCATTATTATCAGATAATGGAGGCATACAATTTGGACAAGAAAATTGGCTTCCAGGTGGAAAAATCAAAATTAGAAACAGAACTGTTAGAACCCTAAACTAAGATTTTGTCAAAGATGTATAACTTGCTGTTGAAATGGAATACTCAGGATGAAACGGTGAAATCTGCTATGATTAAATGGGCACAAGATGTTGGACATAACATTATGTTTGCTGACTGGGAACAGTTATGGACCACAAGTATGAAGTTTACGGCATGTAATGCCTTAAGAGAGAATATTATGAAAATGATATACGGGTGGTACATGACCCCAGTCAAGCTTGCAAAAATCTATCATTTGCCCGATAATAAATGCTGGAAATGTAAAGAAACTGAAGGTACATTCTTCACCTTTGGTGGACGTGCCCAAAGATTAAGGCTTTCTCGGAAATGATATATAATGAACTGAAAAGGTATTTAAATATACCTTCCTGAAGAAACCAGAGGCCTTTCTCCTGGGCATAGTCGACCAATCAGTGTTAAAGAAGGACAGAACTTTCTTTATGTATGCTACAACAGCAGCAAGAATACTTATTGCAAAGCATTGGAAGACACAAGATCTACCCACACTGGAGGAATGGCAGATGAAAATGATGGACTATATGGAACTGGCGGAAATGACTGGCAGAATCCGAGACCAGGGAGAAGAGTCGGTGGAAGAAGATTGGAAGAAATTTAAAGACTACTTACAGAAATATTGTAAAATTAATGAATGTTAGAATGATGACGGATTGAAGTTAAGCGGTTTCTAGCGGTAATGGTATAAAAGAATATGGAAAAATTGGTTTTTAATAGGTAAAAATTTAATGTTATAATATATTAAGATTAAAGATCAAGATTAAAAAGGAGGGAAAGGAATTGCTGGACTAACAAACTGAATTGGAATACAAAAGAGGGTGGTATGAGGAGGTCCGGGAAACAAGTAAATGTAAAAGAAGTGATGAAAAGATGGAATTGTTTTTGGCTGTTTTTTCTTTTTTGTACTTTGTATTTTGTATCTTTCCTTTTTATTGTTAATTTTTTTATTGATGTGATCTTTTTCTTTTGAAATGTTAATAATGTACAATATCATTTAAAAACAACAACAAAATAAGCTACTTCTCTCAAGCTACCCTAATCCTTTAGGTATCTTCTCACAAGAGGAGCGTAAAGTTTGTGAATATCAGTGTATAAGCACAGAGCGTATCTATGGAGGAGTGGTGTATGTTGGAATATGAGTGTGACGCAGCTGCAAACTGGCAGCTCGGTATTTACATCACAAGATGTGGCTAGCTGTGGGAAAGAATGTTCCCGGAAGTTCACAGGATTTACAAGGCTTTGTTCTGTGTGTAATATGAGACCTTCCCGTTGTGTATGTGAAGGAAGTCTGAGTCTCTTGCTCGGAGGAGACTGAACTGATCGGACATTTTTTTGTAGAGTTGTGCAGTCAGAAATAAACAAGACGTAAAAGACTTTCTGACTATCTTCTTTCTCCTGCTGGTATGCAAGGAAGAAGGGGGTGTGCATCTTAGCAGCTGGGAGATGTCGCCTATCAAGATCTTCCTGGACTGCGGGGATGTCAGCCAGAGTAGATCACCGGTAAACAAGACCCGGGATCTGGGAGAGAGGCCAGCCTCTCCCGAGGGGGGCATGTTTTCCAACAGTGTATTAGTCTCAAGATTATTCCGAAATGTGGCATCACCAGCTCCTCTGCTTCCACATTCAGCAACACCTCCAAAAGTCCTCAATTCAAGGCAGACTATTATCCTTTAGTTGACATATACTCTGCAGGTGACAATCCTGACTAGCCAGCTGACCTGGACCCCAAGGAACCCCATAACTCAGACAGCCCTGGGTCCTTGCACTTGAGAAATCTAGGGAAGGACCTACTTGACAGAACTGAAAAGAATTGTTTACATGTCTTCTGTGCTCTGCCATAAGAAGCCCAGAATGAAATATTCTCCCGATTTGACCTCTGACGTTCCTGCCTAATGAGTTTGAAGAAGGAACACAAGGGCTCATGCAAGCAGAACTTGACCCTTTGTGCTCCAGATCCAGCCCACCAAATATTCCAGCATGAGTTGAATTTATGGGCTGAAAAGCCACCTCCTCCCACCAGCAGGTTAATGAACCCTCTTTCCTACCAATTGGAGATGAAGAGCTTCCCCAAAGATTTGGTCCACATGCAAGAGGCAAATATGGCCACATCTGCCTGGCTTGCAATGAGAGAGCTCAAAGAACGTCAACAGGACACTCCATAGAAAGCACCAAGCATGGGGCCACTTACATGTATTAGCTACTCGTCTGCCCATGCTCTGATGTTGCAGTTTTCAGGCTTAGGGACAGGAAGGTGACTGGTTTTGGCACCAAGTTGTGTCCATAAGCCCCAGTGAGTTCAAGGGTTCTATCTTGAGGTCACTACTGGACAGACCCTGCCAGCCTTACAAAGTGGGGTGAGGAGCAAACAGAGGAAATTGAAACCACTGGAGAGGTTTAGAAATGGGGCTTCTGTTGGGAAGGGGCCACCCCATTTGTGCTTCTCCAGGGGCAGGAGAATATAGAATCATAGAATCATAGAATCCTAGAGTTGGAAGAGACCACAAGGGCCATCGAGTCAAACCCCCTGCCAAGCAGGAAACACCATCAGAGCACTCCTGACATATGGTTGTCAAGCCTCTGCTTAAAGACCTCCAAAGGAGGAGACTCCACCACACTCCTTGGCAGCAAATTCCACTGTCAAACAGCTCTTACTGTCAGGAAGTTCTTCCTAATGTTGAGGTGGAATCTTCTTTCTTGTAGTTTGGATCCATTGCTCCGTGTCCGCTTCTCTGGAGCAGCAGAAAACAACCTTTCTCCCTCCTCTATGTGACATCCTTTTATATATTTGAACATGGCTATCATATCACCCCTTAACCTCCTCTTCTCCAGGCTAAACATGCCCAGCTCTCTTAGCCGTTCCTCATAAGGCATCGTTTCCAGGCCTTTGACCATTTTGGTTGCCCTCCTCTGGACACGTTCCAGTTTGTCAATGTCCTTCTTGAACTGTGGTGCCCAGAACTGGACACAGTACTCCAGGTGAGGTCTGACCAGAGCAGAATACAGTGGCACTATTACTTCCCTTGATCTAGATGCTATACTCCTATTGATGCAGCCCAGAATTGGATTGGCTTTTTTAGCTGCCGCGTCACACTGTTGGCTAATGTCAAGTTTGTGGTCAGCCAAGACTCATAGATCCTTTTCTCAAGTACGGCTCGCAAGCCAGGTGTCCCCCATCTTGTATTTGTGCCTCTCCCTTTTTTTGCCCAAGTGCAATACTTTACATTTCTCCCTGTTAAAATTCATCTTGTTTGTTTTGGCCCAGTTCTCTAATCTGTCAAGGTCGTTTTGAAGTGTGATCCTGTCCTCTGGGGTGTTAGCCACCCCTCCCAATTTGGTGTCATCTGCAAATTTGATCAGGATGCCCTTGAGTCCATCATCCAAGTCGTTGATAAAGATGTTGAATAAGACCGGGCCCAAGACAGAACCCTGTGGCACCCACTAGTCACTCTTCTCCAGGATGAAGAGGAACCATTGATGAGCACCCTTTGGGTTCGGTCAGTCAGCCAGTTACAAATCCACTGAGTGGTAGCATAGTCAAGACCACATTTTACCAGCTTCTTTACAAGAATATCATGAGGCACCTTGTCAAATGCCTTGCTGAAATCAAGGTAGGCTACATCCACTGCGTTCCCTTCATCTACCAGGCTTGTAATTCTGTCAAAAAAACGAGATCAGGTTAGTCTGACATGACTTATTTTTCAGAAATCCATGCTGACTATTGGTGATCACAGCTATTGGTGATCCTTTCTAGGTGCTCACAGACTGTTTGCTTAATGATCTGCTCCAGAATCTTCCCTGGTATTGATGTCAGACTGACTGGGCGGTAATTATTTGGGTCCTCTCTTTTCCCCTTTTTGAAAATAGGGACAACATTTGCCCTCCTCCAGTCTGCCGGGACTTCGCCTGTTCTCCAGGAATTCTCAAAGATGACTGCCAGTGGTTCTGAGATCACATCTGCCAGTTCTTTTAATACTCTTGGATGCAGTTCGTCTGGCCCTGGAGACTTGAATACATCTAAACTAGCCAAATATCTAGGGCAGGAGAATCCCTGCAGGGCCTCTGAGGCTCCCTTTGCTTCTTCCTCTCTCCCAGGACCCTGCAGCTTCTTTTGGCTACTTGACTCTTCAGGAAGGATGAGTGAGACGGATCCTGTCAAGCTAGAGGAGATGGTAGAGGGAAGATGGACAGATGACCTGGTCAGGTTGTCTCCTGCATCCCTCTCCACAACCTCTGAGCACTCCCTCCCAGGGACCTCCGAGAGATCTGGTGAGTCCCAGGGGAGTGGAGATGGGGACCTGGATGGATGGAGCCGGAGAGGAATTGGGGCTTGCTCAGGTTGGGGGTGGGGGGAGGCAGGCAGGCGGATGGAGATGGAGAAGGGGAGCACCTTTTTGGGCTCCCCCACCTGCCTTCCTGCCTGCCTGCCTACGCTTTTGTCATCTGCAGGCAATTTCAGCTAGGAATAGATCACAGCTCCCTGCCCGAAGCGATGTATTGGCAGCTCAAAAGGTCTAAAACCAGTTCTGCGATCTGAATGCCCTGCCAATTACAGACAACTCACTGATCCATCGCGCAGCACTGGACTCCTTAAGGGAACCTGATCCTGCTGTGCAGTGTGAACTCAGATGGGGCCTCCGTGTGTTGCCTTTTCCTCTTCTTTTTGTATAACTTTTATTAGCTTTATAAAACAGGGAACATAGGAATAATAAATGATACAAATATGTAGGCTGAGTCTGTATATCTCAAACCTTCTCATCTGTCTACATCCTCTGTTCACAAATGTGACTTTTCCCTCCCTCTGAAGGGGGTTTATTTCCTTGACCCAAAGCCCCCTCCCCCAAAAGGAAGGCAGCATCTGGATCCCAAGGAAGAGCAGAGCTGCAGACTTCCTGCGAAGTGGCCCCTCCCTGGCTTGGCAGAGAGGACAAGGGAGGACCCTCTGCTCCCTGACTTGGGGGTCTCCCCCCACCAGGAATTATCTGAACAGGGACCCCCATGCATTCCCTGCACCCCAGGTAGTGGCATAACAAGGTCAGGGGGTACCTGGTGTGGAAAAGTTTTTGTCACCTCCCCAGTATTGACTTTTTTTTTTTTTTTTTGCCTACAAAAATGTTTTGACTTTATTTCATATTTTCTTACAAAGGATTGTGGATTCTGGGCCTCCGATAACAAGTAGGCCACTGTGGACAGTTACTTAAATCTACAGGATGCATTGTGTTTTGGCTTGTGTTATTTTATTTATATTTATTGTTTATTTATTTCATAAAATTTATTTTAAACAACCTGCAAAGTTGTTTACCAATACAAAAAAACAAATAAACAACACTACAGCAGTAAAATCAATAAAAATTAACAAGCCTACTTTAAAACACAGAAAAGCTAAAATATTAAAAGAGATTAAAATTACTTCAGCTTCCTAAGCATCTGACTATGCTTGCCTAAACAAGTATGCTCTTAGCAGGTGCCAGAAAAGAGTCTAGCAAAGGCACGCGCTTTATTGCAAGAGGCGGGGAGTTCCAAAGGGCAGGTGCTGCCACACTAAGCAAGGCAGTGCTGGAAAGGGGGTGAAAGGAGGAGCTCCTGGGAGGAAAGGAGGTGCCGTGGAAATGCCATTCTAGAAGTAAAGAGCCTCCGCCTCTCACTCCTCCTCCAAACGAGAGCCAGGGGTGTGTGTAAACATCTAGAGTGAGGGGGGAAAGTATTTGATCCCCTTCTAAATTTGGGTTTTTGCCCTCTGACGAAGAAATGCCTAGTCCACAATATTAATGGTAGGTTTATTGTAGCTGTGAGAGACAGAATAACAACAGTGAAACCCAGAAGACAAAAGTCAAAGATTGATGAGATTATTTTTTTGGGGGGGGGGGTCTTGTTCCTACTTTTCTCTCTTTTATTTATTCCCAATATCATCCCGATCTTAATCCTTTATCTTATCTTGACAGCCACTGGCATGCAACTTTCATCATATTTAACAGATCTATATCTAAATTAACATGCATGATGAAAATTGTGCTCTTCTTGTTGTTGTCCATCAATTGTTTTCGGTGCAGTCCCTCCTCAGAAGGCCCTATTTCATTCCACCATCTTATCTTCCAGGACTCTGGGCTGTCTTCCTGCTTTCCTTTGTTTAGTTAAAATTAAGACACATGTAATGTATTTTAACTGACTGATATTTTCCCAAACCGAAGAATCTTCTGTAAGAGACCACACTGTGCGATAGATTTCACAGTTAATACTTGTTTGGTTCCTCTAGAATCCAAGCTTGCTCCCCCTGGGCCCTAAGGGAAGATTACAAAGATCAAAGATTCACCTTCACTTTTATAAATCCATATATGACAAAAGTCCATGCAAGAAGATGTGGTTTCCTGTGTGAAATATTCCCCAGTTGTAATCTGTCGGTTGTCTGCAGCCCTCTTTGAGAGGGACCCAATTTTCAACCCCGTATAAATTATTTGGTGGGCAATGAATGAATCTTTTCCCACATGCCAAACACTAAGACGTTGTCTCTCTTGTATGGATTCTTTGATGGGAATTGAGACTATCCTTCCGACTGAAGCTCTTTCCACATTCCAAGCACTGATAGGGTTTCTCCCCTGTATGTATTCGTTGATGGGAAGTGAGCGTCCCCCTTTGACAGAAGCTCTTTCCACATTCCAAGCACTGATAGGGGTTTTCCCCTGTATGAATTCTTTGATGAGAAGTGAGATGACTCTTTCGATTGAAGCTCTTTCCACACTCCAAGCACTGTTAGGGTTTCTCCCTGTATGAATTCTTTGATGGGAAGAGAGATGGGTGCTTTGACTGAAGCTCTTTCCACACTCCAAGCACTGATAGGGTTTCTCCCTGTATGAATTCTTTGGTGGGAAGTGAGTTCACCACTCACACGAAGCTCTTCCCACATTCGAAGCACTGATAGGGTTTCTCCCCTTTATGAATTCTTTGATGGGAAGTGAGATTGGCTCTTTCACTGAAGCTTTTCCCACATTCGAAGCACTGATAGGGTTTCTCCCCTGTATGAATTCTTTGGTGGGAAGTGAGACCGGTGCTATGACTGAAGCATTTTCCACATTCCAAGCACTGATAGGGTTTCTCCCCTGTATGTATTTGTTGATGGGAAGTGAGCGTCGCCCTTTGACAGAAGCTCTTTCCACATTCCAAGCACTGATAGGGTTTTCCCCTGTATGAATTCTTTGATGGGAAGTGAGATGACCCTTTCGATTGAAGCTCTTTCCACATTCCAAGCACTGATAGGGTTTTCCCCCTGTATGAATTCTTTGATGGGAAGTGAGATTGGCGCTGTAACTGAAGCTTTTCCCACACTCCAAGCACTGATAGGGTTTCTCCCCTGTATGAATTCTTTGGTGGGAAGTGAGATCACCACTCACACGAAAGCTCTTCCCACATTCGAAGCACTGATAGGGTTTCTCCCCTGTATGAATTCTTTGGTGGGAAGTGAGTTCACCACTCACACGAAAGCTCTTTCCACATTCCAAGCACTGATATGGTTTCTCCCCTGTATGAATTCTTTGATGCACAGTGAAATTATTCTTTCGATTGAAGCTCTTTCCACATTCCAAGCACTGATAGGGCTTCTCCCCTGTATGAATTATTTGATGAGAAGTGAGATGGGCCCTCTGGCTGAAGCTCTTTCCACACTCCAAGCACTGATACGATTTCTCCCTACTCTGTGTTATTTCGTGTGAAGTGAGGCTATTCCTTCGAATGAAGCTCTTTCTTTGATGGGAGTTGGACTGGGAGCTCTGACGGATGTTCTCTCCACACTCTGAATATTTACATGACTTCTCCGCTATGTGGATCCTGTTGTGCTCTCCCTTGTTCTTCCCTTCTAAGTCATCACCACCTGCAATGAAGAGAGATGCTAATTAGAGTCTCAGGAGGAAATGGGAGCTCCAGATTATTGAACAATGTTAATGAATGCTTGTGACAGAGGAAGATCTGAAGAGAATGAGATGTGAGGCCGTCCTATAGGTTTCACTTCCTTAGTTGGCTGGTATTAACTGAGATATTGCTTGGCTTTTATCTGGGATGGATTTTGTTCTGGCTCAGTCATGGAATCCACTCCATCTGCAATCACAACATGTTATGATCCAACAGGGAGCCTTACCAAGAGAGTCCACGATCCCACGATTCTCCTCCTTGACCTCTTTATGCTGATCTCTCTGGTCAGGATCCAGCAACGTCCACGCCTTGTCTGTGAAACAAACAGCAACATCTTCACCTGAACGCTCCCCATCAGAAGTTATTTCAATCTGGTAAGTCAAAATTTAAATTGACAGATGGCAATATATACAACTTAGAAGTATATTCAACTCGGATCAAAAGAAAGGATTTGCAAAAGAAGATTTGAAATTTAAAGTCACAGTGATAAAGAACAACAAGAAATTGTTATCCAAAACCTATAATCTTTTACTGGACTGGGAATTGATGGAGGAAGAAGTGAAAGAAACGATGATTAAATGGTCTCAGGATCTTGGACATACTATCTATCTAGAGCAATGGGAGAAACTCTGGCGAGAGGATATACGATTTACTGCCTCATATACAATTAAAGAACATTTTGTAAAGATGTTCTATAGGTGGTACTTAACGCCAGTTAAGCTGGCAAAGATATACAAATTGAAATCCAACCTCTGTTGGAGATGTGGTGGAGAAATAGGAACAACAATACATATGTGGTGGAGGTGTGAGGAAATTAAGAAATTTTGGATAGTAGTACACGAAGAACTAAAGAAGATGTGGAAAATATCAATAACAAAGAAACCAGAGACATATCTCCTTGGAGTGATAGATGAAGAGATACCACGGGGGGGGGGGGAAGAATTTTTCTATACGCAAGTACTGTGAGGAGAATCAGAATTTACAGGGTTAAACAGTTCTGTGTGACATCTCACATTCTGAGGCGTGGTTTTGTTCACATACGGGAATCTTTCTTTGTGTGCGAGTTACTTTCGTTTTTAGCTGTCGAGCCGAGGAGATGTCCGCTCGATCTCCAGGTTGATTTATGATGTTTTTCCGTACAATGATTAAAGACTTCTTAGATTAGCAAGAAGCCTGCGTGCAGCCTTGGATTTATCACCCACCCAAGGCACGACCGCTGCTGCAAAACTCGGCTTGGAGCCAGGAAGACAGCTTCAGGCTCACAGTTGGCACGGAGAGTTGGCACAGGAAAGTGTGGCGGATGCCATTACATTCCACAAGTGCAGCTGCTGGAATAGTGATTGCTGCTAGGTGGAAGTCACAAACTATACTCACAAAGGAGGAATGGATTTCTAAACTAAATGAATATTTAATTTGGGCAAAATTAACTGCTATAAGAAGAAACTGCTATAAGAATAAAAATTTAAAAAGGAGTGGAAATGTTTCAATGAATATATGGCAAAATATTGCTCAAAAAAAGATACGCTAATATGCCTAGATTAAAATGTGAAGTACTGGATGGAAGAAAAATTAGTAAGGAAAGATAATAATAATAATATATAGATGATTTGAGAAGATTGTAGAATGCAAAGATTATTGCAATTTTTATAATGTGGAGGAAATCAAGTGGGGGCGGAGGGAAGTGGGAGGAGGGAGAAAAGGATAATATGATGGACTGAGGAAATTAAAATGTAAATGTATGGGGGGATGGGGAGGAAATGGTGTTGGCTTTGGTATATATTGTAATACAATATGGGAAAACCAATTTTTTTAAAAAAGAGTCGTGGGTTCTAGTGCTGCGCGAAGGATCAGTGTTTGACATTGGCAGGGCATTCAGATCACGGAACTGGTTTTAGACATTTTGAGCTGCCAATACATCGCAGTGGCCGGGGAGCTGTGATCTATTTCTAGCTCAAATTGCCTGCAGATGACAAAGGGGCAGGCAGGCAGGCAGGCAGGCGGGGAGCCCGAAAAGATGCTCCCCTTCTCCATCTCCATCCGCCTGCCTGCCTCCCCCCACCCCCAAGCTGAGCAAGCCCCAATTCCTCTCTGGCTCCATCCCTCCACATCCCCATCTCCCCTCCCCTGGGACTCACCAGATCCCTCGGAGGTCCCTGGGAGGGAACGCTCAGAGGTTGTGGGGAGGGATGCAGGAGACAACCTGACCAGGTCAACCGTCCATCTTCCCCCTTCCATCCTTGCTAGCTTTGCAGGATCCGTCTCTTTCATCCTTCCTGAGGAGTCGAGGAGCCAAAAGAAGCTGCAGGGTCCTGGAAGAGAGGAAGAAGCAAAGGGAGCCTCAGAGGCCCTGCAGGGATTCTCCTGCCCTAGATATTCTCCTGCCCCTGGAGAAGCACAAATGGGGCGGCCCCTTCCCAACAGAAGGCTCCCAGGCCCATTAGTCTGCCGGAGTTCAAAGTCTCTTGCCGCGGCAAACAGAAAAGCCTTATTTGCTTTCGCTTTTCCACACATACCTCAGCAATCTGTCACAGTCTTACTCTCCTGTAAGTGCCGTGAATCTGGGCCCAAAACCTGTTGTTGGAGAATGAGACAGGTTTAACAGTGGTTAAGAAAGTTAAATACCTGGGGATTAACATGACAGCAAAAAATGGGAATTTATTTAAAGATAATTATGAAAAATGTTGGTCAGAAGTGAAAAAAGATTTAGAAATTTGGTCAAATTTGAAGCTTTCACTGCTAGGCCGTATTGCTGCGATAAAGATGAATGTATTGCCTAGAATGTTGTTCTTGTTTCAAACTTTGCAGATCGTGGACAAAATGGATTGTTTCAAGAGGTGGCAGAAAGATATCTCTAAATTTGTCTGGCAGGGCAAGAAGCCTAGAATAAAATTTAAAATACTAACAGATGCAAAGGAAAGAGGTGGATTTGCCCTGCCAGACCTCAAACTTTATTATGAATCAGCAGCCTTTTGCTGGTTGAAAGAATGGCTACTTCTTGAAAACACTGACATTTTGGACTTGGAAGGTTTCAATAATGTATTTGGATGGCATGCATATTTATGGTATGATAAGGTCAAAGCACATAAAGCATTTAAAAACCACATTGTCAGGAAAGCGCTATTTAATGTTTGGTTAAGATATAAGGATTTGTTAGAAAACAAAACCCCAAGGTGGCTGTCACCAATGGAAGCGAAAGCCTTGAAAAAGGTCAATATGGAGGTCAAATGGCCGAAATATTGGGAAATTTTGGAATAAGACGGAGATAGACTGAAATTGCAGAGTTTTGAAAAACTAAAAAACAAAGTGCGAGACTGGCTTCATTATTATCAGATAATGGAGGCATTTAAATTGGACAGGAAAATTGGCTTCCAGGTGGAAAGATCCAAATTAGAAACAGAATTGTTAGAACCCAAAACTAAGAATTTGTCAAGAATGTATAACTTGCTGCTGAAATGGAATACTCAGGATGAAACGGTAAAATCGGCTATGATTAAATGGGCACAGGACGTTGGACATAACATTATGTTTGCTGACTGGGAACAGTTATGGACCACAGGTATGAAATTTACGGCATGTAATGCCTTAAGAGAGAATATTATGAAAATGATATACAGGTGGTACATAACCCCAGTCAAGCTTGCGAAAATCTATCACTTGCCCGATAACAAATGTTGGAAATGTAAAGAAACTGAAGGTACAATTTTTTCACCTTTGGTGGACGTGCCCAAAGATTAAGGCTTTCTGGGAAAAGATATATAATGAATTAAAAAAGGTATTTAAGTATACCTTCCCTAAGAAACCAGAGGCCTTTCTCCTGGGCATAGTGGGCCAAATGGTGTTAAAAAGGATAGAACTTTCTTTATGTATGCAACAACAGCAGCAAGAATACTCATCGCAAAGTATTGGAAGACACAAGAACTTCCCACGCTGGAGGAATGGCAGATGAAACTTATGGACTATATGGAATTGGCGGAAATGACTGGCAGAATCCGTGACCAGGAAGACTGGAAGAAATTCAAAGACTATCTTCAGAAACACTGCAAAATTAAGGAATGTTAGAGTGATGTTGGATTGAAAATAAGTGGTTTCCAGCTGTACAGGTTAAAGTTAAGGATAGATTAAGATTAAAGATTAAGATTAAAGATGTTTAAAGAAATGGAAATTTGATAATAAAAGGGAAAAATTTAAAGCTATATGACATTAAGAGTAAGGATTAGGTTTAAAAAGTTGAAGTTATATATTTTAACATTTTATTAAATTAAAGATTGGGATTAAAAAGTGGAAAAGAAACTGCTGGACAAATAATGTGGATTGGAATACAAAATAGGGAGGTATGAGGAAGTCCAGAAAATAAGTAATTTAAAATTGGAAATGGAAAAGAGAGTTTGTTTTTAATTGTTATGTTTTGTGTTTTTATTGTTAAGTTTTGTATTGTTTTTTGTGTGTGTTGTTTTTCTTTTTTTCTTTGTTTAAAACCTTAATAAAAAATTATTAAAAAAAAAAAACTGTTGTTGGGATACTGCCAGGGAGACAAAGTCCATCATGGCCCCACGTCGCCTCCGGACGTCCATTGATCTCCCGTAGACACGCAGTATCAGCAATTAGCGACACAAGCTCCAGAAATAGCTTGCCACATTCCAGAGCTTATGCACGCTCTTATCAGCAGATAATGCACAGCAAAAGATGCACGCAGGAGAGCATATTTACAAGTTTATTCAGCGTTGGGCAGAACAAAGAAAAAACATGACCGCCTGCTTCAGCGTTCAGGCACCAAGAGAGAGAAACGAAAGCAACAGAAAACATAAACACTATTTTAATTTTTTTTAACATTTTTGCTCTTCTTTGTACTTATAGACCTCCTTTTGCCATGTGGACGAATTAAACCTCCCTTATTGATCTATTTTTAATGGTAGGGAAAGAGATATTGTTGTATTATCTGGTTCCACAGACTCTGCCAGATTTTATTCCAGAAGGTTTTACAAGTACCTATCAGGATGGTAAGAATTTTATTACAGTCAGCCAAAAAGGATTTTATGCATTCTATGTCCCTTGTTAGTAGTACAAGTCACCCAATGACTGATAATTCCTCATTTGCACCAGAGGCTTGGGAGAAGGAGTCTTTTATCCTTGTATTAGCATTTCCTGAGGATAGTTCTGAAATTTTCTTTCTCATTAGTTCCTCTACTTGTTTAGCCTGACTTTGGCCTTGAGTCGCTTGAGCTCCTGGTCTCAGTGCCAGAGATGACTTAGCAGTTGAGCTGGCTGGGCCCAAAACCTCTTTCTGCTCATCCTTAGAGCTGCTGAGAGATCCTATAAGGTCAGTAATAGGATCTGGCTCCTGCTGTTTCTTAGCCACCTCCTCATTTTTCTTATTCACGTAAAATTGATTTTTGCTTGTGCTTTCTTTAGAGAAGCTCTCTTTGGAGGAGGGTCTGTGGCATTTGGGGAGAGAACATTAATTTTGTAACTACTCTGGGTCAACATTGTTTTTCCCCTTAATACCATATGCCTTATACCATTTTCTGAAATTCTGTGATTATCCTTGCTGTGATTTATTTAATGGAAACTGATTTTTTCCCAAACACTCCCCTCTATGAAGTATCTCATGGGAATTGAGAATGGAGCTGCGAATGAAGCTTTTCCCACATTTCAAGCACTTATTTCTTCCCATCTTTAGTTCTTTCATGTGAAGTGAGGCTCTCCTTCTGAACGAAGAGCTTTCCTTGATGGGAAGTGGACTGGGAGCTCTGACTGAAAGTCTCTCCACACTCTAAATATTTATATGGTTTCTCCATTGTGTGGATTCTCTTGGTTGTCTCCCTTCTTCTTCCTCTCCAATTCACCACCTACAACCTACAATCTGCTGTTATATGGCAATATTATTATTATTATTATGTTTAGGCTGAGGAAGAAATTGAGGCTGAAATGATTGAACAATGCAAATGACTGCTTGTGAAAGAGGAAGAAGGGAAATGAATTACTGCCTTTTTTGAGAAAAAATTTTGAGAAAATTTGACAGGATGTTCCTCCACATCCCTGAGATCTCTGAAGCCTACATTGAAGAAGGCCTGGGCAGCTCAGACCAGCCTTATCCTGGTTTAAAAAGGCAGGACTGGTGGAAGAATATTCCCAGACAGAACAGGAGATACATCTCCTATGGAGAGTTGTGGGTGTGTTAACATCTCAGATGCTGTAGGTGGCGCTATTGGGCTCCCTCAAAATAGAGGAGGTTTGTCCTTCAGAGATCTGTATGGAATTTCAAAACTGATCTTATGATCCAGCAGGGAGCCTTACCAGAGAGGCCACGATCCCAGGATTCTCCTCCTTGACTTGCTTCTGCAGAGCTCTCTGGTCAGGATCCAGCAAAGCCCAGTCCTCCTCTGTGAAAGGAACAGCTACGTCTTCAAAGCACACTGGACCCTAAGGGAAAAAGGGAGAATAAAGATGATATTTTTCTACACATTGCTCTGTTCTTTTCTGCCTCTTAATAGCTGCATTGTTTTAATACTATTCTTTTCTTGCATGCTTATTTCAGTATCTTAATGGAACAATTTTGTTGTGTATTTTAATGATGGGTCTTAATCCTTGTATAAATGTGGCCAGCATGACTAAGCCACTTCTGGCGAACCAGAGCAGCACACGGAAACGCCGGTTACCTTCCCGCCGGAGTGGTACCAATTTATCTACTTGCACTTTGACACACTTTTGAACTGCTAGGTGGGCAGGAGCTGGGACAGAGCAACGGGAGCTCACCCCGTCACGGGGATTCGAACCGCCGACCTTCTGATCGGCAAGTCTGTGGTTTAACCCACAGCGCCACCCGCGTCCCATTCCACATCATAATAATCCCTAAATCTGAAGGGGGTTTCTTTACCTGCCCAGTTTTCCTTGACCCCAAGCCCCCTCCCAAAAATGAAGGCAGCATCTGGATCCCAAGGAAGAACTTGGCAGAGAGGACAAGGGAGGACCCTCTGCTCCCTGACTTGGGGGTCTGCCCCCACTATGTATGATCTGAGAAGGGACCCCCATGCCCCCCCTGCCCCCCTGGGACCCCCTTCTCCCCGTTGCACCCTCAGAGGGAGGAGAGAGGAGACTCACCCGAGTCCAGGAGGGGCTTTTGCAAAGGAGAGAGAAGAAAGCAGCCTCCTCTCTGCCTGCAGGAAGGGATGGGGGAGGGAGGGAATTTAGCCATGGAGGACCTTCACCCCCTTCACTTCCCGTCCTCTCTAGGAATCCAGCTCTGCTCCTTTTAACCCTTGCAAAACCGA